ATATATATATATATATATATATATATATATATATATATATATATATATATATATATATATATATATATATATATATATATATATACATATATATATATTTATATACATATATATATATATACATATATATATATATATATATATATATATATATATATATATATATATATATATATATATATATATATATATATATATATATATATATATATATATATGTATATATATATATGTATGTATATCTAGATAAATGTTAATTTATCATGCGTACTAATGACGAACAAGTAGAATAAATCTTTGAGTTGATTTATATTGTATTATGTTTGTATTTTGACTTTAAATAAAACTACTTTACTGACCGTAAAGATATTATAACATTACTTAAATTTTTTTATCTTAGTAAGATGATAAAATCTTAATGATATTATAAAACCTTAAACTTCAATTAAGTATTTACTTAAATCATAAATAACATATACTATAGAAAGTATAATTAGAGTTTAATAAAAAATTAAAATACTTTATTTGTTTTTGACGACTTTAATTAGCATTTAGTTTCCTAATTTTTATTTAAAATTACGATGTTAACACTATTTTCAAATGCTCGTATACTTTTATAAAGATAATGATTTAATATATGTTTATGTTTAAGAGTTTTAAATTTTATTATTTTTTTAGCATTTATTTTACTCTACTTTCAAAACACTTTTAATTGAAGTAAAATTTTAACATTAGGTGTTTTAATAAAGCCATGTAGGTCACTTTTCAATCTGTATTGTGTTTTCTAATTTTAAAATATTATTTTGTTATTTTAAAACACAGTAGAAATAAAATTAAAAAAAAATTATAAAATAACAACTAGAATAAACTGTTCAAATTTAAATCATGTTGTTCTTCTAACATTGCTTCACATGATATTTTATATTTATAAAGTTAACGAACTTTTAAGTTATATTTTTAATGCATATGCACTTTTAAAGAAACTACTTTTATTGAAATTTAAAGCAAGTAGCATGCAAGCTATTAATTGAGTTGTTGGTGATATACTCTGTATAGTACTGCCTGTTCATGAAGTGAATAATATAAAAAGCGAATGGGAGTACCAGCTGTTAAATCGTCTATTGAAGTTATTAGCTTCGCAATGACGAAAAAGATAATTTTTTTATAGAAAAAGATGGATTGATAGTTCTCTTGTTTAAGAACAGCTAAAGTGTATAGAAGGACAGCTAAGATACATTTGATGCGTTTAAAAGTATCCAAAAATACAAATTTAAAATAAATTACTGAATAAAAAAAGTTTTCGGAATGATTTAAAATTAATTCAAGTTTTTAAAGCAGTTTTGAAGAGTAAAAATCAACAATTTTTTAAAAAAATTTAAAAAATGAATTAATACATTTTAAAACTTCATGATGGTTAGATTTGTTTAAAAAAATCTTTGCGGATTCATTCAGAACAGAAATAGGAATTTAATTCAAACCAGTTTGTGAAAATGCCACAAAACAATTTTTTTATTGTATCTCTATTTATTTATATATATGATTATCTTATTTCGTTTAATAAGCCTTTTTAAATTTTGAATATTATTGATAGCTTTAATTCTGGTATTTTCAGGGCTTTTTTTACTTAGCAACTAATTTAAAATAAGTTGTAGGTGTATGTTTATAGTTATGTCAAATAATGAGGCTATGTAAAATAGTGCGATGATATAGGCAGGTAACAAAAAAGCCCTCTCATATCCAAGTGCAAACAAACCCCACCCTTAACGTGAGGGGCAACGGTATAATTAAAAAATTTTAACTTTTCTTAATTAGATTTATATTCATTGATAAATTTCAAGTTTCATAGTATTATCTCTCAGCGTTCAAAAATTATGAACATATACTTGTAACCCCCTCATATAATACTTGTAACCCCCTCATATTGAGGGGGGTTTAAACTTTATATGGTCATAATTTTTGAACGCTCAGAGAAAATACACTGAAATTGAAGTTTATCAATGAATATCGGAATATTGTTTCTAAAATGTTTAATGTTTAAATGCTCCTAACATTTTTTAAAATTATATTACTCATCATTGGTAAAGTCATTTTTTCTCTAATCTGTATTTAAGATTGTAAATCGTCTATAGATGTTGCTGTTGCGCTAAATCTGATAGCTTTAGAAATTATGTTAAAGTTTTATGTTACAAATTTTAGACGAAAAAACTTAATTACATTTGCAAATTCTAATATTGTTAAATATTATTTAACAATATTATATTGTTAATGTTATATTGTTATTGTTATATTGTTATTCTTGTTAAATTTTTTTTAATAACTGAGATATCACTAAACTTATATTGTTGAATTGCAATTTTAATTTTCGGTATCTGTAAAACATTGTAGAAAAAGAAACAGATATAGACCAGATATTTAAAGATGACAAACAATAAATTTTAACTGAGGCTAAGAAGAGTTAGCTGGAATTGTCACATTAAATGAACTCGTATAGATTTTGACATAAAATAAAAACGATAATTAATAATTTTTAAGGTTGACTAGGCGTGTAGCAACAAAAATATCTCAAATAATTTTTATGAAATCCTAGCAACATAAATCTTGTTAAAATATTTTAAATATTTTAAACGGAGGTTCTGGTATTGTTAAACGGTTTATAAATGGTTTTTATACTTCATTATAACTAAATAAAAAAAAAGCAATCTACTTGAAAAACATTTTTTAACTGTTAATTAAAAAGTTTATTTATACATTGGCTTTTGGAACTCTTTATTTAATAAAATAGGATTCTTTCACTTGTTAAAGGCGAATTATATTTGCTATGCACGTATTGCTTTAAATTACTTTTAAACTTATAACTGAAAAGTTAAAATAAAATTCTATCATTGAATAGATAGACGTTTTTGAGTTTTTGTTGTTCCACAACGTCAAAAGTTTTGTCTTTCTGCAAAAAGTAACTAAACCATTTAAAATTTTATACTGTCATGATTAAAAAAGAACCCTTACTGCATTTACTTAAAAAATATTTTTATATATTTATTTAATCAATACTTGCTACATTTAAATATATTAATTTAAAAAATAAATACTACATTTTTTCTAGTTTCAAATAAAAATTTCACAACTGATTATTTAAATGAACATTATTTCACATGTGCCATTAAAAAAAAATTTAAGTAACTGAATATAAAAATGCATAGGTTTACAAAATACAAATTAAAAAAAAAAAGTTTATTAAAAACGTTCTTTATGCATGGTCAAAGATGTTTTTTGATTGACCTTTAAATTCATTTTGCTCATCTAAAATTTTGTTCTCGTTTCTAGTTAGTAAAATTTATCGGCATGTAAGCATGAATATACACTTCTAGTTTAACTTTTATTAATAACAAGAGCTTCTGACACGTTTTTTGATTAGCCTAATTTGGACATTTACAATACGATATTTTGCAAAAAATACAAAAACTTTTAGTTCATGTATTGCTTTACTGTAAAGCTTTTTATTATAAGGTGTAGAAGTCTAGTTGTTTAAATAAAACAAGTCCTAATCAGAAAGGAATTTGCTTTTTGTGAAGCAGCTCTTGTCATCAACTATAAAATCAGAATTTTCTTAATTTTGTAATAACAGACCCACTTTTTAAACAAGTAATAGTCTAATTTAATTTTCTAGTTTTTTTTTTCAATATTGCATTACAATCGCTACATGATACTATATATTAAGATTTTTACTGAACAGTGCAAATCAAAAATAAAAAACCTCATCCTTTTGTCTCTGAAGAACCTTTTTTGACTTATATATAATCTATTTCTCTTGTAATGAAAAGACCTCAGTTTACAATTTGTACAAACCTGGTAATCTCAGAAAAGGGTAATATGATCACATCAGCAAAAATTAGAATGTTTTCAAAAATAACTATTCTGGATTCAAAAATTTTGTGAAAAAACAATTTTTAAGAATCCCTACTCAAGATCCACTTAGATATTTGGGCACCCGATATTTTTCTCTTAAAAACACAGAAGATTTAAAAAGTAGCAAAAGATCAAATTTTAAACCATTTTTTTGTTAAAACGATACTACTATGTTTTTAGCAATAAAAAAACAAAAGAAAAACAATTAGTTCGTTGTTTTTTCAATTTTATCAACTCAAACTTTTGAACGATAAAAATTTAATTTTTTTTGAATTTAATTTACAGAAAATTATTTAGTATTGTTGAAATATTAAAATAATTGTTTTTAAGCAAATAGCAATTAAAACCACTGCTATTTTGGGACTTTAAACTAGGTAGATTCAATGAAAAACACTGGATTGTTTAAGTATGCTCATATTCCATAAACATGGATTCTTAAAAAAAGAGTCAACTTTAAATGTTTCTATACATTTTTTTTCATCTAAGAAATTTATGTTCTCATGTTACCGTAATTTACCTAAATATAGTGCAAAATAAGAAATAATAAAATAATAGCGCTCATGTTACCGTAATTTATTTAAGATAAAGCAAAATATTATATACTCAATTATTTAATAAAACACCTATTATTTTAAAGCAACAATAAATAGCATGAGAATTTTAGGGTTTTATTTGTCTTATGTTGAATTTAACAAATAAAGTTTTAGTTAATAACAAAAACAAACAACTTAAAAAATATTAGGAATAAAAATATATATTTATTAATGAAACCTTAATAACATAAGCGACTTATAATTAATAACTATAAAGAATAACAGCTTTAAAGCATTTTAATAGCTAAATATCGAAATTTAAGTTCTTACAACATAAAAAAGAGATAAAATTCTATAATTCTCACGCGACAAATAATTGCCATTTTTTCTTCAATAATTGTCAATCACTTAACTAATTATTTTGGCTTTCAATAACAATATTTCATTAACAATATTTATTTGACGTAAGTTATATTTGATAGATTAGATATTTTAATATTATAAACTTGTTTTAAACAAGTTTTTGCCTTTTCAAAAAAGAATGTATAAAAGAGCATAAATTTATCGAAAAATATTTTGGTTTTGTTCATTAAATTTAACAAACTTATAATAGTGGTGCTTTCATTTTTAAAGCACAAAGTAACAATCGAGTAAAAGAATAACAATAATTACAATATTTTTCTCCTCATTCTACAGTTCAAAATGAAGTGTTTCATTTTGTTGCTCATTTTGCTTTCAACATTTAATACAATCTCGGGCATATGTGCACCCAAAGCAGATAATGTCGAGAACTGTCAAGCAGTGTGCAAACATGTACGTGGATGCATAGCGTTTAACTACGTTTCATCTAATAAACTTTGCTTCTTAAAGGTACATCCTTTTAACTAAAATTATTGATGGCATCACTTATTATACACTCCATTCAAAAATATTATTCTCAAAAGTTTTATAAGTGTTTTTGCAATTATTGTTAAGATCATTATATATATATATATATATATATATATATATATATATATATATATATATATATATATATATATATATATATATATATATATATATATATATATATATATATATATATATATATATATATATATATATATATATATATATGTATAGATATATATATATATACATATATATAAATATATATATATATATATATATATATATATATATATATATATATATATATATATATATATATATACATATATATATATATATATATATATATATATATATATATATATATATATATATATATATATATATATATATATATATATATATATACATATATATGTATATATATATATATATATATATATATATATATATATATATATATATATATATATATATATATATATATATTCACATATATACATATATATATATATATATATATATATATATATATATATATATATATATATATATATATATATATATATATATATATATATATATATATATATATATATATATATATATATATATATATATATATATATGTATATATATATATATATATATATATATATGTATGTATCAGGGGTTACAAAAAAAAGACACACTCAATTTTTTGATAATATTTTTCACTACCACATCCAATTTTGTTAGTTTTGCTTTCTTATACATTTTATGTTTAAAATCAAGAAAAAATGTTAGTGTGGCTCCCCAATATGTATACATATATTGGGGAGCCACACTAATTTACAATATATATATATATATATATATATATACAACATAAATATATATATATACAACATAAATATATATATATATATATATATATATATATATATATATATATATATATATATATATATATATATATATATATATATATATATATATATATATATATATATATATATATATATATATATATATATATATATATATATATATTATAATAACAGTGTGGTAAAAACTTCATTTATTTTTATTCTTTTTTTCAATATAAAATCAATTTGATAATAAGTAGTAGCTTTTTATTTACATTTTTATTTAAATACTAGTCAGATGGCGACAGTTTAATGATACTTTGTTTTCTTTTCAGTGCCTTATGTTAAAACTATTATTATTATTTTTTTGATATTACTATTTTATCTTTTTCATGTTCAATTACAGTTCAATAAAAAATTTTTTTTAATTTTTAAGTCAAATTTTTTCTTAGGATAAAGCACGGGAGTGGAAACCAATAATATCAATTGGATCTTTTTCCGGCTATGCAACTGGTCCGATTAATCCAATTCTTAAGAACATAGATTTTAACCAAGGAGACATGGATGATTGCAATGTAAATCACAAAAGAACGATCAATGACAATTCTTTGAATAAAAAAAAGGAACAACATTAAGTTGAACTTTTATTTGAAAGCTAGTATTATGTAGTTTTGTAATTTTGCTTTATCTTTTTAAAAAGTTTTTAAAAAATTTAAAAAATGTAAGTAACTAAATTTTTTGCGCTTTTCATTTTATAAAGTTAATGAAAAAGTAGAATTGCGTTCAAGCAAATGCTTTAAAACAAATACGCAAACCTAATGCTATCCAATAAGCACATTATGTAATAAAAAAAAAACATTATATATAAAAAAACAAAAAAAAGCATACAACAATAAATTATTTATTAAAAAAATATTTAAAAAGTTTTTACAAAACCTAAAATATACCTTGGAATAACATAAAAAATCTTTTATAAAAAAAAATTTATTTTTCAGATAAGATGTCAGCCGGGTTAAATTATTAAATTTCTTGAGGTATTCCGTTGGTTTAAGAACTAAGCAAAAGAAAAAAATAACATTTGATTTCGTTTAAAATTATAATTCGCAATATAAAAGTTATATACAAAGATAATAAGTTTTTTGTATAAGAAGTTAAAAGTTTAAGTTGTACATTGATAACATTTTTAAACGGCAAAATAAACTAAAAATGGTTGTCATTACTATATACGCTCCTGACCTATATCCTAATATAACTACTGGCGTATTAAAAATGCTTATATTAAAATGCCTATATTAAAATCCTAATATAACTACTGGCGTATTAAAATTGTTTTTTATGTCGGGCAAAAAGAATATGCTCTTAGAAAAAAAGAAATTACCTCCGAAACGATAATAGCTTTCTAATCAAAATATTTGTAAAAAAACGGGCACAATTAGAAAAATATAACTAATATTGCCAGATACTATCAAAAAGGAGAACTTTAAAATACCATTTATCAAATAAAGGACAACAAGCAAATGATAATACTACCATGGATGCGCTTCTGATGTATGTAAAAATTAAACTCACTAACTCAAATTTTCTAGATAAGCTCTCCAAACTTAGTCTATTTTTTCGATAAAAAAGACTTTGAGGGTCGCCTCGTAAATGTTTATATTGTGTTTTGATGTTAAAATAAATAAATACAATAATGAAAATAATAACAACAGTTATTTTAGGCATCAATTTATGCAATTTTAGAAGAAATATGATTTGGATATAATTATATATACGTATATAAAGCTATTTATTTCTAAAAAAAAAGCTTTTATAACTTAACTTGGATATTTTCTTCATTTCCCCAATTAAAGAGTTAAACTTTTAGTCTGATTATAAATTTAAATTAAAAATAAAATAATTTAAAAAAATCAAAACTATAAAAAAAACTAATTTAAGTGGCCAGTTAAATTTAAGTGCCCTATCTATCAAAAAAATTGTTTATAACCAAAACCCATTTTTTGTATCACGTAATTAACTTTGTTTATTTTGAACGCAAAAAACATTCAAATTATTATAATTTTTTTTTCTACAGTATGCAAAAAAAATTATTTTTAAATACTTTTGCACACAGAAACTTATGTGATATTGTTTGATTGAAACGGAACTAAGTATTGGTTATCATTGTTATCAGATTAAAATGAGTAAACAAGTATTAAATCAAAGAGATGTTTTTAATGTTTGTTTTTAAAATCATTTGTTTTAAAAAAAAAATGTCAAAATTGACTGATGCCTCCTAATTCTCATTTGATTTTTTTTGGCAATTATGAATTAATGGAAAAAGTAGCTGGAAGTCGAAAAAAAGAATGGATTTAAAGATGCTAAAGATAAATCTATCGTTCACAACATAAAGGCAAATGTCAGTCGCTTAAAGATCTCGCAAGAAAATGCAAATATGTTTTGGTAAAGCATTTATATCTCAAAAGTAAAAAAGCGTATCATAAAAACAAAAATTCTGAAGCAATCCTTTAATAAAGAAATCCAAGCTACTTCTCAACTTAAATTTAAATCAATAATTTTCGTTAATCTGCTGTCCAATGAAAAATTGTTCGAAAACAAATTCTGTTTACTCAGTTTATCAGCATATTTATTGTATTACAAAATAAGTTTTACCGTTTAAGTAAATATATTAGAAAATAAAAAGATATCTTTTATTAATTTATGAAATCTTTCTATTATTTCATTATAAATTGATTTAACAGCATTATAAATTAGTTTCCGAATCTCATCACTTGTATAAGATTACTATCTTTTAACACACATGCACGCATTACTTTTTAAATTAGTATAGAAATTTATTTCTATTTAAGTTAATATAGTAACTTATTCAGGTAATTCATTTAATTCATGCATTTTATTAATAAAACTGTTCAAGTCAACATTAAACAAACATTACAAGAATAAGGTTGTATTTTATAAACGTTTCTAATTTATACTTATTTTTATTTATTTTTCTTAATTTATACATTTAATTATATTTATGTGTTATATATTATGCCTTTATATGTATTAAGGTTATTTGAGTTTATATTTTGTAAGTGTGTAAATATCTTTTATGCATGATGTGTTCCTATGTTTGTGATGTGTTATAATGTTATGTGTTTATAGTTTGTAAGTGGTTATTATGTTGTTGGTTTTAGATTGTTGTGACTTGGTTTTGTTTACTGAAAGAGTTTTGACTTTGCTAGCCAAAATATGCACTTTGTTATAGTTTTTGTAATATCCATAATTTTTTTAATATTCTTAGTTTTAAGTTAATTTTAATAAAAAGATATTCTTTTTAATTACGTTTCATTAGTAAAGCTAATACTTTTCATAAGTAACTTTTCATAAGTAGTCTAAAAGATATACTTCACTAAGTATAAATTTATTGTTTTCAAAAAATATACTTTTGAGAGTACTATTAAAAGAGACAAAACTATACAAAAAATGTTTTTCTTAAGTTTTCGGCACTGAAAGCTAATTTAAATTTTTCTAATTTTAGTAGTTTTCTCTGTTTAAAAGTTTTTAAACTTTTAACACAGCTTCTAAAAAGTTCACTTCTCTAAAGCATTTTTGAATAGATTTTCTGGGTTTTTTGATTTAGGTTAGTAGGTGAACTAGATAAACATTTAAATCAGTTAAAAGAGAATATTAAAAGATAACTGGAAATAAACTCTCTCAACATATATTTCCAGTATACTATTATGTTCTAAAAGTATGGTACATGTGTCGCAAATGTGCACGAGTATCTTAAGACTGTGAATATAGAGGTGCCTGTTGCAGCACATCATCGTTGGTAATTTAAAAATAGCGAACGAATGATTTTTCACAATTCTATAAATTTGTTATTATTTTTTGTTTTGTTTTATTTTGTTATTTTAGGTGCCCTAACTGTTTTTTACTATTTTTTTGTTTTGTTTTATTTTTGTTACTTAAGAAGACCTAACAGTTTTGTCACAGAGCACCATGGAGGTGCATTTAACAAGGAAGTTCACGCCTCCTTCCTTACCGAGACGCGAAAGTATGTGGAATGCAGGGTGTTTCAATTATTTTACACATAAAATTTAACGCCTATGTTGTTTTTGTTTTTTACTTTATTAATGATCTATCAATAAGCAAAATTGTTATATTATTATTCGTTCGACGCTTATAGTTTATAATTCGACGCTTATAGATACACCAGGATATTACTAGAGGGCTTTTGTTAATTCCCCATAAACAAAATGTTTAGACATATTTACACAAAGATACTAGACACATGATTGACACACATGACTGCTATTTTAGGATGAACAAGTTATAGAGATATTCCTTCGCCAAGCCACGGAGGACGCGAACGCATTATCTAACGCAAGTCTTAATAGAGAACGATACATCGTTTACAAAAAATGAATGGAATATTCTTCTACCCTATGAGTACCTGGCCACCATCCTTACAGATAATTTTCTGAAACATAACAATAAGCGACACTGAAACATCCAAATTGATACTTTTTTTCATTGGTAACGGATGCTCTCCATACTTAATATTCAAACTCCTTATTCTCGACTTTGGCAAAAACAACGCAAAATATAAAAAAAGAATATACCAACTGCTTAGGCTAGCTAGAAACATTGAGAACCATTCACATAGATGGTTTTATTTTGACATTTATCTCAATTCTACGAGATATTTAAACATGGACCACTGCCCATGTGAATGGAAAAACCTTGAAGATAAAAAAAATGATTTATCCTTATTTTATTTAGAATAAAAAAAATAAAATATCACAATAAATGCATTTTATATCTTATAAAATACATACTAACCACACAAGGACTACAACGATCAAACTTTGCTATACACTTTTTACATATGGAAAGCCCCAAAATAAGACAAAAATAGATTAAGTTTAGCATGCGTTCTTTACTTGACAGATCCATTTGTTTATCACTTTTACCATCCTTTAGGTGGTAGACTAGCTCTTTATTTACTTACTTTTAATTTTTAATTTTTTTCTATTACCTTTTAGTCACTCTAATAGCTTATACCATGTATTTCTGTTAAACTTTTTTTATTCGACTACCATATTGTTAGATTTTTTTGTTCCTTAGAAAATTTATCTGACGTCGGTAAGTCAGTTTGTTTTAGTTTTGTACTATACAGTCTTCAATAGCGCTCTAATGGATATTATAGAAACAACCTTTGTTTTTCAACTCAATTTTTTCAGTCCGCTAGATACTCTTAGATCGATTATGCGTTAATGACCTGTGTCGGTTCACTCTCATATAATATTCTACATATTAAATTATTATTAATTTCTGGTGTACCCAATAATTATATTGTGTATTAGCTGGCTATCTTGAGTTATCAATCTATTGGTTTATTATTATCTAATACTATTTTCAGTTAGGAATTATCTCCATCTATCAGGTGAGATTTATATTCTCTGAACAATTTGTCTTACCAAACTCCACACTACGTTTGTATACCCTTATAACGTACTATTTTTATCCTAGCTTATATCGTTACGAGTCGTTATTTCCTGGATTGTTAGTATACATATATATGTAAACAGACATATATTAAGCATTATGTTATTAAAAAATGGTAAGTCACTTTGAAGTACCATGTGCTATCTGCTGCTTATTATTAACTTTATTGTCATTGTCACTATTC